TTTTTAAGGAAGGATTTTTTTGTTTTTTTATTAGCTCCAATTTTGGTAATGACAACTGTTTTGTAAAACCTTATAGTTTTTGAGTTATTTATGAAAAACCGCTTTAAAACATCATTTTTTTCACGAAAAATCAAAAACTTTGATCTTTAATAACTCAAAAAGTATTGATTTATTTTAATAATTCTATGTAACAAATTTTGCTTACAATTGGTCCCTCTATTAATTTCTGGGGTTATTTTTCATAAAATAATTTCCACCCTCGAGCATCCACTTCCAGGGTAAAAGCGCTATGTCACTTTTGTTTCTTGAGGTATCGTCTAACTACTCACCAGTTTTCATGAAAATCGATGGAGGTTCAATGAAATCGGAGGTGAAAACTTTCAGTGACTGTACTAATAGTAGACTCTTCGAGGATGGCTAGATGCATCAGTTAAATAGTTAAATCAGTTTATAGAGGTAACGGTTCAGGAAGGATCCTTTCCGATCCCTAATACAGTTTCATTTTTATTATGGGGTGTTTGTTTTATGGGTTTAACGTTTGTTGATTATTTGATGTAGCTGATTTTTCATAGGTTATAAACATCCCTCTACAATTTTTTGATTTTGGAAGCCCCGCTTTGTAAGAGTCCACTGAATAATTGAAAAAGGGTTAATAATCAATGTTGGCATTTGCCACAACTTTGTTATTATTTTTTAGTTTTAATGTTAGCTACAAAAACTGAGGCAAGCCTTAAAAAGGACCAAGCAGCAGGGTCCAGAGATTTAGACTATTCCTTAGCATTTAGGAGGACACCGGTTCGATTCTGGGTCAGTCTGCTTGGTCCAAGTGTTTCTGTTTTCCCAATTTAAAAATTCATGACATTTCTCTGTATAATTTAATAGCAAGATATTGTTAATCATCATGGTCTGTATTTTGTTGAAATTTATTTGTCTATAAAAGTATATGAAAAAGATAATGTTTGAATAAAACTAAAAAAGATAAAGAATAACATGAAAATATCGATAGCTAACGTAATTGATTAAAAATCTTTCAATGTAAGAAATTATTTACCTCTTGCTAAGGAAGTAGTTACGGAAACTAAGTTTCAGAATAATTCAATTTGTCGTTGGTTTATAGAAATGAAAATCTTCTAGAGCTGATCACGTTCGAAAACTTTGTTGGAGTTAGCTTTGCCGGCTACAACTTACTGTCTCTAATTTTTAATATCTCATCCAAATCACGCACAACTTTTGTCACTTCTGTATTTCTAAAATTTTCTCTTGTGAGAATTTCAATTCTCTTTTCCAATAATTGCACTATATTACAGACGGTTCGTTAAATACAAATTGAAAATAAAAGAAATAAATAAGTACTAGTAGATTCATTTCATAGGCATTTGAATCTAATATTTTACCACATTATGGACATGAGATAGAGTAGACTAAAACCAAGGAGTGTTTTTCAGCAGATCTTAATCAAAT